CCTGCTGAATTTCAAGGTCCTGCTGCATTCATTAGAGGTGCTATTTTCTTTTTAAATAAATCACAAATCTTTTGGGAAGAAACATTCAGGGCAACTTAAATATAAGGACCACTTACCAGTTTCCCCTGTAATTTAATTGCTTGCCCTAATGAAGGGACAGTAAAGTATTTTGTTTTTTGTGGGTTCTTATTTAATTACTATTATTACATTTAAAGGGCAGTTGCTACTTTGTATGGATTGAAACATCTTATTTTATCTTTCAGATCAGTGCCATCAAATGTATGGACTGAGAGCCAGATTCAGCCCACAGGGCTTGTAGAGGGGCCGGAGCCCTTGAGACACATGGCAGGGACAGGCAGGAAAGTGGGGGCCATGTAAACCACTATGGCTGTCACTCAACCTGCTATCACTGTTATTGGCTCTGCAGCTGCCGAGGCATCCAGATCTGGCCTGCAAGGAGGGACAATTTGAACACCCCTGTTCTACATCAAAATGGCTCCTGTTGTAATGAAACAGATGATCTGTTTCTGACTGATCACCTTCTCAATCCAACAATCCAGCCCCTACTAAATAGTCTCTCTTGCTGCCAGCTAATGTTATTAGTCCCTGCAGTTCAAATGGCAGTGACATGTCCCAAAACACTGAACACCCAGGGTTCAAACTTCGATGATGATGTATGTCACAACTTGCTTTTACGGTTTTCCTTTAAGCAAATAAATAATTAACATTACACGTGAAAAATCCCTATTAAAAATTAGGCATGTTGTGAAGTCAAGCACTCAGAAGTTAGGAAATATGTACTCTGATTTATGGATAAACTGGCAACCTTAATTCTAAGCTCTAGTCCTCCAACCACAGGCATGTGCCTTAAACAGCCATAAGCACCATAAACTATACACTGCAGAATCCACGTTCCACAGACGTTTTTTAACACAGCAGCAACAGTGGTGGATATTCAGCATAGCACTTGGTTGCACTGAAAACACAGTAGTTGGTAAAGGATTTTGTGAAGGATGGATGATAAGGAAGTGATCAGGCGGGCGGCGGAGGGAAGGAAGGAGGGGCAGACTTAGGTTACAGTGTATGGCCTGGAACATAAAGTAGTGACTGTAATGCTAGAGATGGAAGAATGGAGGGTATATATTGCATGTCCTTGTTTCTGAGTTTGCTGGGTGTTGAGTGCTCAGCAACTTTGGCTGCTGACATGTATATGTTAATTTCCTAGGGGGGTTTTTTATACCTTACTGACCATGTGCAAGTGAAAGAAATGTGAAACCCATACTAAAGTATAAGGCAAAGCTCCTGATGGAAAAGCAGGGTTGTGTGCTTGGCATGTAACTACTACCTATCTAAAAATAACTCCAAAGCCAAGGTTTTTAAAACTGTCCAATGCACCAAATGCATCTCTACACTAAGTTTCATGAAGTTGGAAATTTTTTAAGAGGTATCTGTGCGGGCCGGGAGCGCCCCGAGCCCTTTTTCGCGCTGCACGCGGGCTGTGGCCAGCAGCCCGGGCACGCGGGGGCGGAGAGGGAAGGCCTTTGCTCTGGAATTAGGCATGGACGTGTATCGGTAGTTTAAAAGATTGTTTAGTTACACCGAGATGGCAATGGTGTAGGCTGGAAAGCTTGATTAAGTTGCAGTTACAGACAGACACAACACAGACGGTCTTGTGGAGGTTGCCAGGCTCCACGGTGCAGAGCTCCGGATGCTCTGGGTGAACAGGCCACCAATGTAGAAATCGTAGATACGTCTTATATTAGTCGCGCTCGAAGACGGGAAGAGGTGGGCGGTGGATCAGGCCGCCACGCTCCTCTGGATCTCACACAGGGTTTCTATTACCCTGCCGTGTACCCAGAGTCCCCACGAGATGGATGTGGAGTCCTCTTCGGCTTGGGCGGAA